CCACCCCCACCCCCGCCGGGTAGCCGGGCACCGCGTAGCGCCCGTGAAAAGTGAACCTGCCGGGGTCCCTGATAGGCCACGAAGCTCTCGATGCAATTCTGCTATTTACACCAAGCACAACAAACGTCCACCTGTTAGCCGCACACCTCAGGGAAGGGAAGGACTCTAGCTCTGTCTTGCCTGCCTCTCTCCACCGCCGAGGTGAGGCAGGACTGGTTATTCTGATACTGGGGTGACCAGTCTTACTTCTGTTGAGCGGTCGGGTCGGGTGAGTCATTCTTATGGAGCAGTTGCAATTCTGCTATTTACACCAAGCACAACAAACGTCCACCTGTTAGCCGCACACCTCAGGGAAGGGAAGGACTCTAGCTCTGTCTTGCCTGCCTCTCTCCACCGCCGAGGTGAGGCAGGACTGGTTATTCTGATACTGGGGTGACCAGTCTTACTTCTGTTGAGCGGTCGGGTCGGGTGAGTCATTCTTATGGAGCAGTATCTTGCTATTTAGAAGTTTTCTTTCATAATTTTAATGCTTTTGTCTTAGTTTTGTTCCGTTGCTTTTGGTGATACTGTCTTAGACCTAACACCAAGAAGGGAGAAGTTATATATATTCTTCAGATACTCTTGAATGGTTATGAGTCTCCTACATTGACCCTTTCATGGGATTGTTCGTAGGAAGACATTGACTTCAGTGGGACGTCATGTGGACACTATGGTCTGCCTGTGTGAAGCTCACTGGAGGATTAGGGCATTAATCATCACTCAAACTATATATTTAGCTCTTAGTATTTCAGTATTATGACACGTATCCTAATATTGAGATCCCTTTATCTAAAATCAAAATCTAATTTTGTAACAAAGTGTAAAATGAAATGGTAAGTATTATCCCTTCACTAAAACTTTTTAAAAATAAACTTTTACTTTAGCAACACATAATTTAATCCATCTGATGCCACAGTGGGTCATAGCACACTTGGCCCTCTTAAATGTCAAAAGTATAGCTATATTTGATTTAGTAACTAGTTTGACACCTGTATTTGAGCATAACATTTTCAGGATCAGTGCCATGCTCTTTGTGTTTAAAAAGCTTTAAATACAGAAGGTATGTATTGTTTTTTTTAGAAGCTTGTCTAAATTTCATATGGCAGCTCTATTTTTGGCCATTTTGTTTCTGGTCAGTAAGGCAGAGGATGCAGTTACTGCATACAGTATGTCTCAAGTTATGAAACTTATTCAGGAAAATGAAGTGACTTCAGAAAGGGTTACTAAACTTAACAGTTTCCTTGTCAGCACCAGCTATGTTAGAATGGGGTGGGCCTCTCTTATTATTGGAATAATTATTATTATTGCTCATTTCCTCTCCTTCCTGCATTTGAACAAGGTTGGGAATCTTGCTCTAATTCTTGAAAAGTGAATTTAATGTTGGAGGGTGGGGGTCTGATATCTCTGCTTTTTACATTTGTAATCTGGCATTAGTACTTCAAAAGGGAAATGGTTTCCTTAAACTTCTTGCTTTTGGTTTCTAGAAGTAGGATGTTTTTATTTTCTTGAGATTAGGTTGATACTGCAAGGAAGTAGCAAAGTTCTTTAATGGCAGTAGTTGTATATGCATGTCCTGTGCAATACCATAACCAGTTCAGTAGCTCCATTTTTCCACTGAACTGCTAATTTTTAGGTTGGCTAGATGACATCAAATCTGATTTATAGTTGTTTGTCATATGACGGTGACAAGACATGGCGGATGGCATGTGCTGCAGTGCTAATTTTAGTATCCCAGCAGTTGCCATGCAGCCCCAGGCCCCGCTGCTTCTGGGGCTGGGCCACAAGGCGGGTGGCTGCCCGGTGTGCTGGGACTGGAGCTGGGGCCACACAGGTGCACACTTAACAACTATGGATGTTGGCTATCAGGAAACAGAATAGTTGTGTAACTGCATGAAATCTTTGCGGTTACACGACTATTCAATAGTCCCTGGGGGCAGGGCTGGCAGCCAGTGCACTCCAGGTCCCAGTCCCGGAGAGCCCCTTAACACCCTGCAATGCTGCCTTTGTATCAAAGGCAGCAGTGGAGAGTGGCAGGGGGAGCCAGTCCATGAGGAGAGCTGGT